TCAATGTGATCGGAAATTATGGACTTTGGCGCGACACTGTCTCTGATGCGATCACTCGCGATCACCGTATAGACGACTTTCCTGGCGCTTGCATTTCTTTGCAAGTTCATCTGAAGTAGAAAAGTCATGTCTTCTTCCTTGTACATGCTTTTACTTTCAACAACATTGCATCAATGACTTTAGGCACAGAAAATGGCTCTAAGATCTGTTGACGGTTTGCTTCAGAACTGAGAAGAAGTTGAAAAGAATTCTGCTAGCAGGGCCGTGTACTAAACTGGTGCAGGGGGTACACTGAACTAACTCAACTCGAGCTGCCAACGCGCTAAATAGGAGAGCCCTTCCCCATGCGCGCGTGATCAATTTCCTTAATTGAGACTATTCTTGGAGCTTCTCCTTTTCTTGTTATTTCAGGAGGTTAACAACTTCCGCGTAACAAATACAACATGGCCATTCTTCTTGAAGCTATTGATTCCTCTACGCAAAGTTAAGCTTTCAAGTGCAACATTCTTGTAAAAACGAAACAAGAGAGAGACTGACTCCAGAATTTCGATTACAGTCGAAAGAAAGAAATATCAACAGACGGATATTATCATTACTATATATTATGGTCGCGGGAAGTCAAAAGATCAAAAATATCCTTGTCCTTAACTGTGTGCAGTTCTCCTTCAAGAATGTCTTTGCCAGGCCCTTGACGGTTTTTCCTTAGGGGTCGTCGATGAGTATTAAGTCGATTCCCTCCCCCCCCTTCTCGATGAAGTTACGGTTACCCCTTCTTCTAAATAAGACAGAGCTGCTTACTTTTTTGCAGTCCGCGATTTCTTGGGAGTAGTTGACCTAAATAGTCGACAAAGAAATGAAAGAGAGAGTTCGTTTTCCTGGTCGAGAGGCACAATCACAAGCACAAGAGCGTTTGTTTCTAATGCCTCAACTAATGCACTTCGAGGTAGTAGCCCTACAACGAGCAGGTAAATGAGTGAGTGAATGAGCAACAAAAGATTTTCTACTCAGTCAGTTTCTGAATTCAGTGGGATGAATACCCCACGCGAGATGATGACGCTCTGCATTCTTAATGTTTTGACTTGTCACTGAAGGCGTTCGGATCAAAATGTAAATTCTTCAACCACGAGGCAAGCAACGCTTTTTCATTGCTCCCCACGTCAACTTCACTATTAGAAGAAGTGGATACTTGTGAAAAGAACGAAGCGCTAGATGAATGACTAGGACTTGAGTACTTTGTCAACATCAACAAAGGATAGGAAAAGACGAGTCGGCCTACAAACGAAGAGGTGAGCGCTCATGACTGCTGAGCTAGACGTTGAGGGGATACCCGGATACCCAGGCAGGAACTCGATTAGGAGTAGTAGGAGTAGTAGGAGTAGTAGGAGTAGCAGGAGTAATAGGAGTAGTAGGAGTAGTAGGAGTGGTCGGAGTGGTCGGAGTAGTCAGAGTAGTCGGAGTAGTCGGAGTGGTAGGAGTGGTAGGAGGAGTAGGAGGAGTAGGAGGAGTAGTCGGAGTAGGAGTAGTAGTGTGCCCGTTCATGGGTATAGAAGAAGCTCTAATTATTAGCCTGCTCTCCTTTTTTCAACATCCTGAGTGAGGCTCCTAACTCCTTGAGAGAAGCACTACCCGCACATGATCCTCCATTCCACAATCTTATTAACAAGGATGGACGCAGCAGTTTAAAAGATATTCAGGCACAGCTCTTTCCTCTTTCTTAACAGTGACCGCGTTCCGATGTACCTTGTTAGAGCTCCCCTAAAACCGTCTCCACCAAGTTGGTCTCCACCAAGATGTTTCCTTCCATGGTGGCCAGCAAGTTGGTCTCCTTCACGTGTCTTGCCTCTAGCATATGCCTTATGTGGTCTTGTCTCTAGTATATGTCGATGTCTTCTAGTATATGCTTGTGGTCATTTCTACCTCCATATGCCTTACCAGCCTCTAGTATATGCTCGTGGTCTTGGTCTTGCTACTCTCTTGCGTATCAAAGCGTTGTGAAAAGAGCCTATTAGTATAGTGGTATTAGTAGTTAGCCCATTCATGGTGTTGTACGGTCTGAAAATGCAAGTGAGGGCATAAAAACGTTGTCCCTGGAGCCTTTGCGCAGGAGGCAGATTCTTTCATGCGCGTGTGCTGGGTCGCAGTCAAAATTAGATGTGCATGCTGATTGGGAAGAAAAGTAGGAGATCTACCTTGAAGTGGCGGATCTAGCATAATTGTAATATGGACCCAAAATGCCCTATCATTATTCTGACGTTTCTCAAGTAGGAAAGTGTGATAATGATTATGGATTTTGGCGGAGTATGGTGGAGTATTGATGATGATGATGATGATGATGATGGTGATGGTGATGGTGATGGTGATGGTGATGGTGATGGTGATGGTGATGGTGATGGTGATGGTGATGGTGATGGTGATGGTGATGGTGATGGTGATGGTGATGGTGATGGTCGCGGTGACGGTGATGGTGACGGTGACGGTGAAGAAAATGACGACAATGATGAGAAGCCCAGTCCTGCTGAAGACGGGTTTTAAGGTCGATTTATTTTCTAGTTTCTGTTGTGTCGAATTCTTTCTCATGCCTTTGGGTCTCTCACGTCAAGACAATGAGACCAAGGCAATGAGACTAGTTGTGATCACGATTTTGGATCTTTTACGCCAAGGTTTGGCCTTGACGTGGCAAACAGGACTTGACGTTTGGCGGCCAAACGTTACGGCCTCTTATGGCTCAGTGTATCATAACAATCCTGTTCGCACCAGAAGCCTCGACAGTTAGAAAATGGAAAGACTGTAGTTGTAAAAAGACTAGTATGTTCCTCTTTAGACATGCCAGTAAGGAGGAATAATTAAGAGTATCAGTATGAGGAAAATTTGAAGTGTCACAACATCAAAACCAATGGAGGAATCGCAAGAAGGGACTTCTTGTTCTTGGGAGTATGCTTCTGTTCGGATGCTTTTCAGTAAACTTTCTTTCAGTTTTCAGGGTCGAGGTCTTAGTCGGTAATTAACTGAAAAGTGACGTGCTTCGTACTAAGAAACCAGAATAATTTTTCGCTAGGACTAGATGCTTCCTCACTTCTGATCAATTGATTGAACAACTAAAGGTCTGCTTATCGGATTTAAAGATGATGCTACAAAAGTCTTCTTCTTTAAGATCAAGAAAGATGGTGGTTGCGTGGGGTACAATATCCAAGGAAAGATAGATTGTTTGAAAGGACTGACCTAGGATAATGAGGGAAAGTTAAGCGATGAAGATAAGAAAGAAGCCGTAAAGCATCCGCAGCTGCTTGCGAGGCCTCCACTGCTTTCCGTCTTTCATCTTCCTTCCTTCGGTTTTCTGCATCTCTGTCAGCTTGTCGCTGTCTCTGAGCTCCTTCTCCATGTTTCGCAGCTTGTAGTCTGGCAGCGATTTCCGGATGCTGCCTTCTGTGCTCTGCCTCGAGCGCCTTTAGTTTAGAGGAGTAACATAAGCAAAGGCTAGCTAGGTTAGGCTAGGTTAGGGCTAAGTCCACCTATGCATAGGATAGGATATTGGGAGTTCACTCGCCGTCCACAGTTTGACCTATACCGCAGTCGTACTAGAGGGCGTCCATTTATACTAGAGAACTTTCCACTAACGAGATGGACCGCGGAATAGGAATACCAAGGTACATTATATCTTCTACTCAAACTAGAGGTCTCGGAAGTTTCCAATATCTAGTCTCTACAAGATCTAACTCGCAATGTGACTTAGGCCTACAACAGGCCCGTTCCTCACTTTTCAGACTGAGTCATAGGTATGAATGCCTCTCGTCTATTTTTTCGCAGCTGCTCCTCCCTATTCGCGGCTGCTTGCCAGGACGACAGCCACACATATTAGAGCACAGCATAAGCATAGCATAAGTCTCACATAGTCACACATGTACTATAACGGAAGCTAAACAATATGCAGCAGTCAGGATCAGACTAATCAAACTAGAGTAATCAGGTAACCCCAGGATCGGACTAATCAAACTAGAGTAATCAGGTAACTCCAGGATCGACCTAATAAAACTAGAGTAATCAGGTAACCCCAGGATCTGACCATGAAATGTTGTTTCTACTATCTTCCTTGTTCCTGAAATTTCTCTCCCAGTAGGATCGATAGCAAAAGGTCTATATCCATAGGATGGGATAAGATGATGGGACACGATATTGATAGATAGGAAGATAAAAATTCCTCCAATGAATACAGTATACCATAGAACAACTTGTTCTACCAGTCGGCAGTCAGTGTCTTGTCTCTTATTTTGCAATATAAAATGGAGAGCCGTAAAGCCAAAGCAGAGAAGCCCACACCGAGAGTCCCCACAAGGCAAGGACGTGTGGGCGTCCCCACCGCATTTTTGCGACTGGAATGCACGCCTCTACATCACCTCAGAAACGCATCTTTATGATCCATGCATTCTTATGGTTATCTTTCTACAAGTAGTTGTTGTTGACGTTATTGATGCTGAGATACCCAGCTCAATAAGAGCGGATGTAGATCTTTCTCAACGTAGTAGTTGATGTTGACGTAAAAAACGAATCTAGTTCAACGCTTTAAGTCCAAGTTTTCATGAAAACGCATGATCTAGTTCAACATTTATAAGTCTAACCAAGTTATTCGCTCTTCAGTTGCCATGTACACTATGCCTCTTTCTCGAATCCAAAACTCCTCTCATTCGTGTCACACCTCTCGAGGACTTTTTTTTGGGGGGGGGGGGATTGGATCTTCATCGTCATCGAGCTGCTACAACTACTACTACTACTACAACTCGGAGTACTAGTAGTGTCTGGTAGTAAAAAGCCCTTTCGCCCCCGGTAGTAGTTCTTAATAGTACAAGTCGTACCTGAGCCCTAGTCACGGGGTTTACTACAGTGGAAGAAAGTAAGAAGGGCCTTCAATAAAATAAGATAGGACGGGATCCACTTAAAAAAGAGAGGCGGACGAACCACCATAGAGAACACGGCAATCACCAGTCGTATGAAGCCACGCCCCGACGATTCTTGTTGACGATTCTGAAAAGATTGTTCCCCTTGTCTGGAGATCTGTACCTCGATGTTGCCATAGTATTGCGTGATGGCAGTTCGTTTTCACCAGATTCAGATTCCAATCTATCTTATAAGTACAGAGATTTTCAAACTAACACAACTCAACCATTGTTAGTATCTTCAACCACACCGTCACAGTCAAAGAGATGTTGATCCAGGAGTCAGGGGAAATGTTGGTCCAGAAGCAAGTTGTCAGAGAAGATATTAAGTAGACAGCAAGTCTCGCATCCGCCTACAACGTCCTACTTCCTTAACATCCTTCCTTAACGAAAATCAGTAGAAGTCCTCGCCCTACGAAAATCAGTGGTGCGTTGATACTACGAAAATCACGGAACTACTACGAGAATGGCCACTTCCTCGTGAGTTCCGAAGCCTGTGGACTACGCATCTATGGATCTAGAAGATACGACCAATCAGCTTGTTGCTGCTGCCTTTTACGTGTAGATTTTTTCTTTCGAATCTTATCGATTTGCCAATTCCACCATCTTATTTACATTATATATAAATAATATATTACATTTGTTAATAATGCTGTATATTCCCTTTCACTGAAAAAGTCGTAGTTGTCTATGAAGAAAAGTCCCAAAATATAGTCGATAGATACAAGTAGATGTTCTTGTAGACTGTTGTAATGATTCACGAACAACAAGAATGATCGAGTTTCGTTTGTTCCTTTGTATGTTCCTTGGTATTATGTTCGTAATATGCTCGTTAGTTCATTGTTGAAGATCTGTTGTTTACAATTTTTATGTTGAATCTGTACACTTGTAACTTGAATCTTCACGTTTCCCTAAACAAAATGATGGAGGTCTGTAAACGTTAGAATGATGATGTTTCTACTTCATCTTCGTAACTTGATCGTCTTCCATTTTCCTTCTCGCTCTTCTTTGTAAGAAAATTTTTTCATCCCCCCTCTCACTTTATTATCGCCTATAACCCCTTCTATCTAGGGCTCTATGACTCCTTCTACGAATATGACTAGTCAATCATCTAGCTATGCATGACTCCAATGACGCCATCGGCGTGACCTAGTGCATACTCGGTGACGCCATCACCTAGGAGATGCGCATCGATTGACCAGACTGCCGCTCCACGCTTATGGTCCTCGTAAGTGATCACGCTCCGCGGACTCCCACGCCTGATAAAATCTTAGAAACGAGCCTACTGATGAATTGAATCTATTCGGCGAGCTGCCTAAGATTTCCCAGACGAGTTCTACCCGCTAGTCTAGCTTGTACTACTTCTAAAACACTTGTCATGGCTCGTCCTCATCTACCCGTTATTGATGACGTAAGAACAACTAGTCCACCGTTTCAACACCACTTTTTTTAACGTGACTTGATTCACTCTCTTGAGAAGCAGCCTTTTTGCGTAAGTGACACAACTTCCCTGCCCTTTAAGTAAGAAAGGAACTTACTACAACAACCAGAACCACATTAATACAGCGAACCACACACATTTTTACGCCAGTCATTGCAACAGGACCATAAGTGACAAAGCTCCCCTGGCCTGATGCGTTGCAGATCTTGCCTCCGACGAAAATCCTCTTGCTATCCCTAGAGAACTGGCATGTGTAAGGCAGCATATCCTCGTTCAGCTGGATGCTTTCCACTAGCTTGCACGTTCCGAAATCGCGATATGAAGAAAAAGGGAATGAGGACTGGGATACAAACTCCAAGTTGGTTCAACACTCTTAGGGTTTCCGATTACGAGGTGGGAACATCTCGATCTTATTCCGACGTTAGGATGACTATTCGACTGCGCCCCTAGTGGCATATGGAACCCACACCCAGGACGAGTCGATGCGTATAAATAACCAGGAACTTTTCTATTTAAGCGGGGGGGGTGAGACAGAGACAACTTCTTACCTAGCTCTAAAAAAAATCTAAACAGAAGCAGATTCATAAGAAAAGCTGCACAGCATTCCGCGTACGATAACTGCCAGTGAGGATCATGTTTCTGTCAACATCTAAAGCCTCCGGACCACTGCCAACGAGCATAAGGCTCTCTTCCACGAACCTGAGCAGAAGAGTGGGAGTGAGTGACAGCGAGTTAGAGTTGGCATTCAAAGAAAATCAAAATCAATATGATTGGTAAGTTCAAAGTAAAATTTTCATCACTTTCATATACTGCATGAAGCTAATATTCAGGTTCAAGATGAGATTAACAAGACAGTGATAATACCTTTCTCTCTTTCCGCTTCGGCAATCCCACACCCCGACTGAGTTGTCCCAAGATCCAGTAACATAGATTTGACCGTCGCAATCTGGAAAAAATTTCGCTGCGCTAATACGATTACCTGAAGATATGGTAAATATACTTCTGCTGGTGCTGGACTGATGCGACTACCTTGTTATTTCTACCGGCTCTTTTTAGTGTAGAAAAGAATCTACTTAGTGTGCGAAAAGGAGCATGGTTTATACTATGTGCAAAGCTGTCCGCCAGGTAGAGGCTTTTCTTCAAACAGCAGGTCTCTTGCAGCGTTTTAGCATCGTAGATGACCACCTTTCGATCCGTTCCACCCACGAGAAAACGCTGAGGCCTCTTGCACGCTGTCAGTTCATGATGGTAGGTTCTGGGAGGATGTAGCCCCTGAAGACACTGACTGCCCAGCAATAATTGATGAGAAAAACATTGATTGAAAAGACAGAAGCACAGTAGAGCAAAGACAATGGTCCGTCTGACGGGAATGAAAAAAGACAAATCGAAAGGAAATACCAGCCAAATCCGTTCCATTGTGGGTCACGTCACAGACGTACTGCGTGCCATGATTATGCTCGACTTTTTGAAGCCTCGACGGTTGCTCCATGTTCAAGATGTTGATCTGGCTACCCTGCAAAAACAGAATACGTTTGCTGTCAAGCCACTTCAGGGAGGACAGGTTAGAAAGAAGAGAGAAAGGGTGAGTTTTCATCTTAGGGTGGGTTAACCATAGTTCAAGGAGAGAAAGAGACAGAGCGAGTGTGTATGTGTTGTTCCGAGATCTCCACTATATAGCAGGTTCGTTAGCATCAGCTTCAATTACGAAAACCAAAGTCCTCGTCGCACACTGACTTTCATCAACTTCAACATCGTTCCTGTTCATAATAATCGGATCATTTGGTTCTGTCGTGGCAGCGGAGACTTGGATACCTTTTTCTATCAACTTCAGGGTCTCTGGATCCGGTGTGTCGAATTCAGAGGGACATGTGGCCACTTTGCACCAAGAATCGTTCTGGAAGACACGGAGGGCACCTGTTTTTAATGAGGTGGGTGTGGGGCCACTCATCATTATATTATGGGTGGAGCCAAGCTAACTAGGAAAAGAAAAAGGAAGGATAGTAGGTAAAGGATAGAGAAGTACAGAGTAAACCACTTCCTTTCAGGCGTAGTAAGATCTTACTAGTCTAAATCTCATGCACCATCGGCATATCCCTCAGCATCGTCGTCACGTCTCAAGAAGTAGTCATCCTGAACTACCGGCAAGACGAAACAGATTCAGCGACGGAAAAATAAAGTACTGTAGTAGCATCAATCAATGCGGAAGTACCATCAGCATATCCCACAGCGACGTAGTTGTCGCCTGCCCTATGGGCATTCGGATTATAGCGGACTCCAAAAATCTGGCGTAAATCGTTGTGGCCGTGTTTCTTCGGATAAGGAATCGAGGTGGCTGCTCTACACTTACCAGTGGTACAACTACTAGAGACAGTAGTGGCACTAGAAGTACTAGGCGTCGATGATGTTGCAGCGCTCGAAGAGGTGATTTTGGTCGGTGATGGAGAGGGTGTCCCTAGTGGTGCAATCTTGACCGGCGACACCAGTGGCGTGTTTTTCTCCCCTCTCTCACATTCGTCTTCCTGTTGCAGTTTGATCTTAGAAGTGGTATCTCAATGCTAAAGCGCGTCTCAAATGTTTTTTTGTAATACAATAACACCTTACATCTTCCCAAGAGAGACAATCTTCATCAAGTCTTCTTCAGTCGTCAGAATCACTATCCAAATGCATCTTCACAATCCATAATGTTCATCTGCAACGCGAAGCTTTCTTTGAGCAACGAACTCTTCGAAGCCGACTTCGCTGGCGACGGCGACATCATCCTTTTCTTAGAGCGGCAAGAAATCTACTTGCATCCAGATCTAGTACTTAAGGACTTATAACACAATGACTTCACATGATCCCTTGTACTATCATACCACTTCTACCATAGAGAACCCTAGTTGCACTGACGCGTCAAAAATGAATGAATCAATCCACCCGTCCAGGACTAGTCAATCAAGAATAAAAAGCATTCGTACACAGACATCACACACGATAAGTACCCCGCATTGTTCATAACTTTCAGCGGGGAAAAATGACTTTTCGGCGTCAAGAAGTTCTTGGGCGTAGTGCTCTGGACTCGGGTTGACCATTTCGGTGATATTGGTGTACCAGACGGGGTGCTGGAGGGTGTGGCAATATTCGTGCCACCACTGCTATGGAGTTGTCGCCGAGGCATCGGCGATAAGGCCAATGGGGTCTCGAACGCTGACTCTGCATCCGTATTCACGTTGCTACAGGCTGGCATTAGAGGACTTCAACTCAGTTCATTAAACATATCAGCTTTCAGGTATTATAAAGACCTGTATTTGTGCCACCAACCGAAACTTCTACAACACAGAAATCTTTCCATAATGTAGACTCCCTCCCTCCAGTTGCTGTTGTATACGAAGCTGCACTACCACTTGCCTTCATATGAGCGGGTGTTACGGTTCCGTAGGAAGAGGCTTTTTGGCCGGCTGGTGACGCCCACACATCGGGAGAGCCTGAGAAAGAGCGTAGCTTCTGAGACCGCAGGACATGCCCCGCGGTCTTGCCACCACGACCGTGGTAGCGAGATGACATCTTAAGGCTCAAGGTTCAAGGGAGAGTAAGAGTGATACCTTCTGTTCTTTTAGGATTGATAGACTGATTAGCGGTAGTTTTCAGTTTCAACAAGAACAATCAGCAGCAAGGATAGAGTGCGGAGTTTTATCGGGATATCTTGTTCCCAGAAGCGAGATGGAAATGCAGTCTATGTTGAGCTCTGTTAGAATGTTGAAGATCTAGGTCTCGCATGCAGTCAACATGGAAGTGAAAAAAAAGGATGAGGGAAATTATTCTAAGATTCCTATCATGTGTTGAACAGAAAAGCACGTGTCTCTTTCTTCGACAAAAAAGTCACAAACGACCCAAAGAAGGACAATAGTGGGAGAGGAGGTATATGTGTGGTGGACAGACAGGAGGGTCATGAGAGATGCACTATGAGATGCGTCATGAAAACACCTGGTTCGTGAAGTTACATGAGTACTCACGGTCTGTGGTCGGAAAGATCACCACGTCCAACTCTTCTATACATTCTACGACTGCTCGTATCTTCTAGAATCGTAGTTGATCAGCAAAGAAGGTCAAGCATACCGACAACAGATGAATGGCATGAACCGATGGACCCAAATAGCAGAGGTTGAACTGCTCTTGTTCGTGATCGAAGAGTTCAGTACTTACATCTTCTATGGGTCACAACAAATTCTTCAAAGACTCATCGAAGACAATCTAACAGATCTTGTTTTTGAACCGACCACTTCTAGCGTGGGGGACTACTGCTAAGCTGATTACCCATGTCTTAGTCTTTTTATGAACCGAGTTGCATCTCAGGACAAGGTGAACCGATGAATTTCAGGAACTGCCGATGAAAAAACAAGGGGAAACACGGATGTCCTTATGACAGCAGACACAGTTGTAGGTTTAGTCGTTCAGGTCATTCTTTGGGGTGGTACTTACAGTTGATGCAGAGTTGCGCACACGTACTGCTAGATAGGCCATTCAGTCTCGAAAATGGAAAATCAAGATCTTCCAATGCTTCTGTTTGGCATCTGGATCTACTCTCCGTACACATCCAGATAGGTAGCATGTCACAACTCGTTGCTTCCTTGAAACAACGAACTGCTTATTGGGTCATAGAAGATGCTCTCATCCACCAGCGACTCTATGTCGCCCCTCCTTGCCTTTACAACCCTCTTCTCCTTTCTATGCTTTCTATGCTCCAGCCACCTTTTGTCTCTTCAGAGCCGGGTGATCCTCTGTACGAAATGGCGCAGGCATGGTTTGATGCTTTTGAGGTACGCGAACTTCCATCTTTTGTGCCTCTAGGGGTATGCTTTTGACCAAAGAAGGGACGTGTTTCAGATATTCAGCTAATGATTCGATTCTAAACGCATGCCTTGTTAGAAGTTGCAGAATTACATTCCTCAGAACATCCTTGGCTTTTTTTCTGCTAGGAAAGAGGTCAAGAATGTTGCTGGAGAAGGTAATTGTGAAACCCTTAACCTTGGTTTGCATTCTTCCTTGACTTTTTGCAAAAGAGCATGAAAAAGCAACGCTGGGTTTACCTTCTCTGCTGAATCTTTGTCTCCTGGTACTAGAACAAGTTGCTCAGTGTCAAAGACCACCAGTGCTGCGGACTCAGTGAGCCAGCGGAAATGCGTGAAGGCGTTTACAGTCGCACTGCGTTGTTCTGGAGTTAGTTCTGGGATTACCCTTTCTTCACTGTGGTCGTCAGAAGAATTACTGGTCTGTCCGTTTTTCTCCCCCTTCATTTCCACAATCGATGTCTCTACCGTGACGGTCTCCTTTCCAGCACCTCCACCTTTGATACCTTTATTTTTCTGTGAAGAAGCTTCGCCATTTGAAGCAACATTTGTTGAGGCAACATTTGAACCAACAGTGGTGCCACGTAGGTATTTCTTCATAACACCTTGGTCCAATTTGGGTCCTGCTATGTCACAAAGTACAAAAGCTGTGTGTGATTCCTTGATGAACTTTGGCTGTCGCAACACCGAATCCGAAAGCGGAGCAAGAGCACTTACTTGATTTTGTCCATTTTCTTCGTCTGAAGGGTTCGAGTTGGACTTCTCAATTTCCACATGATTTCGAGCAGGATATAGAACTAAGCGGAACAGGTTCTGGCCACCCAAAGGTACAATGTTTTTTGTGAACTCGTACTTCTCATAGTCACGTAGGGCGATGTAGAGCCGCCCAGTCTGCAAGGCGTCAAAGCCGGCGTCGTGATACTTGGTAGGTACTACAACTCCTGTTCCAGAGCCGGCATCTGCTCCTGCACCATCATTCTTACTCGTCGTGTTTTCCCGTATGTGTGTAGTTTTTTCCAATTGAGGATATTTCGAGTCCATCAAGGTGATGCATTCCTCGAGACTGCTGAGGGGCAACTCACCAACGTACTTGGGCAACAAGTAGTGCTCGCTGGGAACTTTGGTGTCGATTATGGCGTTGGGGATGCGCTTGTGCCATTCTGCGAGAAACTGGACGAAAGTCTCCGGTAAGGGACATTGAGGATTAGAAGAATGCTATTTTGTTTCGTAGGAGTAGTAGTGTACCCATTCATGAGGTAGATGTGTGATTTCAATTAGATGCAGATTTTTTCTTCAGGTGTTATTCTTCTTTCCTCTTTCCTCCAATTTAAAGAAGACAAGTGCTGTCACCTTGTCGAAATCAAAACAAAAGGTGTGTGTTGCAATACATCCCCTGTGGTCGAATTGCAACACACTCTCGTTTCTACCAAACTCCCCTAGTAGTGCAACTCAGATGACCTCATCGATTCTACCAAACTCCCCTAGTAGTGCAACTCAGATGACCTCATCGATTCTTCCTCAGGTCGTCACACACAGTAGAAAAGCAAACATTATACACTGAATCCATCAACATCACCATAACCAAATTGTGGAAGAGGAAAAGCAGATCGTACATCCCATTGTGGAAAACGAGAGGCTTTTCTGTAGCTTTCAGCATGTTCCAGACTCTTCGGAATCCCACTCGATTGATTTCCAGATCTTTTCGTCGTGATGGATTAGAGGGGAAGTAGAAGTACTTATCTTAAATTCTTGTGAGCTACGTGTTGTTGTCGTTTTACGACGTACGGAGCGTTGAAGAAGTCGCCTGCGCGTAGGTGTAAGTACTCCTAATCTGTCAAAACGAGGGGTTCATACATCCATGAACATTGAGCTCGAGGAGAATAAAACAATAAGTTTCAGTTTGATGATCAATTACAAGACACGACCACGACAGGAGCGAAGCCTTAACTCTGACTTTCTCTTCCTCCTGTTTCACGCGCCATGCTTCCGCTGCTTTTCGTTCTTCAGTCGAAAAAGACCTGAATAGTCGGCGACACGTATCCATTGAATTCTCCTTCGATTGGTAGGCCAAGACATAAGCGTCTGGAAACAGTCTTTCTATCTGCTGCCGCAAGTATTTGGCTCGGAAGCCGTTCATATTCGGCAAATCGAGAGCATTTGGGTCTTTGTCTTTGAAAAGAAGCTGTTGTTCTGCATCATTCCCGCTAACAGCCTCTTGTTCTTTCCCGTTAGCTACAGCATGGCCATTTGCTACCGACGCGGACGGCTTTTCCTGGGCCTGAAGAGCTTCGCGCACACTATTCCTGATCATAGCCGAAATGTCGAAGGCTTTCTCAGGCTTTTGCTGTGTGTTGGTCGTCGTCGCCGTCGGTGGTGTGTCCATTTTCTTGATATCAGCAGCGGCGGATGAAATTAGAGAGGTCTCTCTCGTTAAAAGGATGACTGTTTTTTGACATAAGAGATTCTCACATACACATTGTTCATATGAACATAGTAGTCTCAGAGACGAGATTCCAACTGCAGTGCCTTAACAAAAAAGGTTGCACTTTGTCTGCCCACAAGGAAGCGTACCAAGAGAGATCTTCAGGACGTGTCAAGACTACTGCGTCGCCAGGTTTTTGGTCCACTGTTTTCTGGATTCCTTGGTTCCCTTGCTGAGCATTGGCCTTGGTCTTAGAGATTGGTCCTTTCATGGGCTATTTTATCCAAAGAAGAATGGGATATAATTCATTTCATACACCTCTCTTCCTAGGTCGCATCTCTAATCATTTTTGTGTATCCCGACATTGGCCTTCCTCCATGGGGAAACACAGCTAAACCAACGAGTAACTATAGCGGCAAAATGAGAAAAGTGAAGAAGGAGCAGAAAATGATAATAGTTAGTTCTGCTAAAAGGTTGAAACATTTCACTTTTTAGTAGCAATCTCCAGTAGAGAGGGCTTGTAAAAATGAAATGTTTCAACCCTTAATCTGCTTCTGTCCCATAATGAATATCCTTCTCTTCTCTATAATATCCACACTGTCCTCCTATGGGTCCTAGTGTCCCATAATATCCTTTTGTTCTCTCTCGTACTGCTCTCGTTTCAACTGGTCGAAAACTGCAGATTCCACATCCGCAATGCAGCATCCTATACCAGAAGAAAGCCATGTCTGGAAGTCGAAGTGGTTTTTGGCGTGAAAAACCATCGTCTCTGGATCCAGCGTGACCAGAGGCTTTTGATAGTTCTCGATTGCTCGACGCAACACGTAGAAATTGAAACTGTCGCAGTCATAGTTGTTAAAGATTTCCACCTGATAACATTCTTCAGGACAACATTCTTCACCTATTTTCTACTTGAAAAACGGCCAAGGATGTTTACTGGGGGATGTCTAATATGGAAACCCTTAAAGTTGTGGCTGTCCTTCTTCTCCGCATTTTTACCAAAACAGCAGACTCCGATCTGCATGATGTCAAAAGTGAGCACGACTTCCCGGTATCTCTGGTACAGCGTGGGCAGCAAATCGGTGTATAAGTGTCCAGGGCGTCTGGCTTCGTTAGGGAGGCGGATGCCAGTCATTTCCAGATCCAAACTAATGAACTCCGCATTATCCAACCTTTCTCTGAGGAGAGGTAGGGAGTCGGCGAAATTTTCGGAGGTGATGTCCATCTTTGATTAATTTTCTCGGTTTGTTCGAAAGTAATAAAGCGTGTCTGAGAGGTTGACGTTCCAGTGCGCGGCGTAACAATGATTGATTGATTGATATGCCTGACAAGAGGTAGGTTTTGGAGAGTTAAATCATCAAGAGATATAGCTCTACTATCTGCATAAAGCGCTGGTGGGATAGGATTCTGGTATCTGCATAGGTGTCTTATAGGACGAAAGGATGAGATTAAGAGGGATCCTCTCCGCCACCACTAGCGGAAATGGAATCCTGAACATTAATACAGGAGCATTCATCTGCAAGACCCTTGATTCTTTGATCATCAGTTGATAGAGGATTTGTGCGCGTCTCACCGACATCATCATTTTCCAGAGCACTGAGACTTTGATTTTTCGGAGAGCACCCGTAGTAAATTCAATCAAGGAGAACACGACGAGCTACGCGATTGCTTACTCCACTTCTATATGGAATCAATAATTCCATGAAGGTCCGTCACCAGAAAAATACAACTCATATGATCTCAATGACATAACCATGACGACCCTCCAAATAGACTGGTAGAAGTCGTAAAATGACTAGCAATATTGCATTCGTGACAGTGTGTCGTATGGTAGATGTTCATGTTCATGTTCATGACTCTAAATCCCTGGCTGTACTAGCATGACATCAGTCCAGTACCTGCTCACACAGTGTATACGTAAACGTTGATATTAGCTGTTCTTGGTCCCACCTCGCTATACTCAGAAGTGCTCTTGGTTGTACCTCGTCTCTGTAGTATTAGTGGGCATCCACCTCAGCCGCGTACATCGAGCACATCTGAAACGGGGATCCATTAACAAATAAAAGTACCATTATAGGTGCTGATGTCGTGAAAGATGATGATCGTCTCAATAGAAATATCTATTTGGCACTTTTCTTCTTTTTTAAATGCTAGTCACACGTTGTGGTCTTCTTCTTGTTCTTTTATCTTTTTTCACGTGCTCTTGTGCATGTTAACTAACAACCTCGATGAGCTTCTTTCCATAGCCCTTGTATTCAATGATCTTGCCCTTCTTGTTATTTCTATCGGATAGCATAAAATTCTTACGCATTAAATGAACCCTCAAAATGTCGACTGCAACAATACATGATAACACTTCTATGTTGGGGCTATTTCTACGAGGTGTGCTGAAATCTTGGTTTTTCGATCTAGAAACTAAGCTATCAATTTTCGTTTTGAATCCATTTTCTTTTCTCTTCTAATTAGTTACCATCACCGCACAGATGCGCGGTGAGTACATGACACTCTAACAACTACCATGGTCCCGTCTATCAGACAGTATGATGAAAAAACAATAATCATCACGTCTCTATGTTCAACACGTTGTTTTTATTGCACTAGAAAGCTGTCCTCTAGTAGTAGTAGTAGTAGTAGTAGTAGTGTACCCATTCGAGAGGTAACAAAGACTTTTAATTAGGGTAGACTAATTCAGTTTTTGCATTCAATTAATAGGCTTCTTACTACTAGGAGTAAGAACCAGTCCTGACTATTGAATTTTGTGACGATCTGTCTTCGATCAATTTTCAAAATATTCCGGAAAAAACTCCAATGAGAGATAGAAAATGACACTTACGCACAGCTAAAACTATCACCTAGAGGAGGGAAAGGAAGGAACTCGATGTTTTATCCTGAGTCAAGTATAGAATATCAAAGACTCTAATCATACAAGGCACTGAAGACTTCATTATCAAAGACTCTAGTACTCATAAAAACGTAATTTCCAGCAACGCGAACTCTGCAACAAGAAGCTCGTACCTCTATCCACGCTGGCGTGTCCTTGTAGCTGTACAGGAGAGAGTCAGGCTGTAGCATAGGATGAAGAGCGGTCGAAAGTGGAGCGGTCGAAAGTGGTTCTCAGCAAGTTTTTCTTCTTGTATCTTAGTGGTATTATTATTATTATTATTATTATCAAATTGTAATCACTTTCACTACGAAAGTACGCAACGGCTTCTAGAATTGGGATGGCTGTGCCCGCTGACGTATGCACATTGTCGCAGATGACAATCGTGTGACGTAGCTTCTGAAATATCGTGTGACGTAGCTTTATCGAGCAAGACATTCAATGCATGATATTGATAGACACTCCCCTTCTGCAGAGCCGAGCAAACCCATTCAAGGAGTTCTTCATGATTACTGATTCAGTCTTATATCCAAGATGACAATTAGAGTGAAAGTATGAGCGTGATGGGAATGACACCACCAGTAGAGGCAGTATTTGTCCACCTTCTGACCTATAAATCATTACTCACAAGGAGGCACTTTATCCCACTGACCGGACAACTGGTGTTTTACTTTTCGATAAAATCCAACACTCTCTTTTTCGTTCTGGTGCTGGATTGATCAAAAACAACACTCACATGACACCTTTAGACTATTGCGAATAGGGCGGATGAACAACAACAACAAATGTCGAGAATGATGACTCCTTTTTTCGAACTTGCTAGATTTTTCGACTGTAGTAAAAGTGATAACAAATAAAAATAAGGTTGCTAGTTGTGATTGATTTGCTTTTACTCAAAGATTGCTTTTGCTTGTTGTGATTGATTTGCTCTTAGTGAGAGATTGGCTTGCATTTTTGAACTATCAATACTGTGGAGATGACACTAAAATAGTGGTAGTGGTGGACCCACATAATCTTTTGATATGACAACATGATCATGTACCTTGTAATTCGCTGCATACAACTATCCGCTGATATAGAAGTAGAAAAAACGCGGAGCTACAGTCAGAAATGACATCAAATTCCTGTTTCGATTTGATGTCTCAATATCACGCCAAAGTAGCAGTCATACTAGTCTACTTACTGGTAGATCTATATTTTCAGAAAGTAGATTTTCTTATTCAGACCTGGGACAACACCACCTTTTTTATCAGGTATAATATTCCCACCAGCTAGGGTAACACCACGCACGACCCTTACCAGGAGTCATCCTCACTTAAAACAACACGCCCACCACGACCTCTATCAGGAGTTATTAGCACGTAAGACACGACGCCCGCTTCTATCAGGAGTTGTTATTCCACGACGTGTCCCTCCTATCACTATTCTGCACACAGACTTTGACCGACGATGGGAAGTGTTTCGCATACTTCTTCCCTATCTTCTGGGCCACAGCGATAGCCCTCGCACTACCCTTTTGCTGCGTACGCTCATAGCGAAGGGAAGGTTAGAAGAAGGTATATGAGTGGGAGTAAAACTGAGGGAAAGACTGAGAAGAGAGGATGGACATGGAGAGAGCTTTCAGTAGATTGTTCGACAACATTGATTATCATAAGACATGTCAAGAGATACCTAAGGAAAATGGAAAATAATTTGAAAAAGTCCTGCCGTAAAACGACAGCATGATCGGCGTCAAGGCAGCGACCAAGAGGCGCAATGATTCTTCGTACAGCAGTGATTCTCCGTGCAGCAGTGATTCTCCGTGCAGCAGTGATTCGCAATTATCTGCATAGGACGAGGAGTTTGACATGAAATTGTCGATGTACGTCACGCAGACATGCATTGCTCGCTGAACGACGAGATCTTAGAGTGGGAGCCGATTACTGTATCTATAGGTTTAGGTATTTACCTCATCGTTATCCTAGGAATTAGCCGATACAGAAAATGTCCGTACCTTATGCTCCTACTCGGAATTACCCGATACAACAAAGTCAGTTGAAACTACATATATTGTTGAAAGGGCTACATGCTAGAGGTAAAAACGAACCGGCTGTTTTATTTAGTGGGAGCCGAGTACATCTGCATCCTCCTTCCATAATAATTCCCGAAACTGTCTGCGAAAATCTCGGCGATCTGACATCCACGACCTAATCCGCCGACCAAGGCACGGACTGCCTTCCCATCTCCATACTGGAGGCAGAGTTCAATCACATTACTACCATGACGATTGCAACAATGATGTCGCAAGTCAGGTAATAAAGCGTCGACTACTACGCCAGTCCACTCTGCTTTGTCCCCAAACTGGATCAAATTTCTGAAAGTGGGAGAAAATAGTTATTTGGTGTACCTGTTCGCAAGGTATGAATATTCTGCAGAACGAGTGCGTGTGTAAGCATTCGATCCTCGTTGAAGTATCAATCTATTTTTAGAGAAGAGATGAATTAAGATTCAGATTCAGATGGGGTCCTGCCTCAGCCCTGCGCATTCAGATTCAGATGAGGTTCAAACGCGAAAACAGAAAATTGAAATTTGTACTGTATCACGTAGTTCCCGTACATGTGGGACACTACATGCGCTAGATTAGGCTCAAGCTCCGCTCGTATCTGGTCTCGTTGCGCTTCTGAGGCCAGACTGTGTACCCTTTGTAGATAGCAGCAACCTGTGAGTCCATGCTTGACGGTGAGAGGTTTTTTTAGAAATTGAGACCGTTGCATTTGGCGTTTTAAAAATGCCTCCATGGCTTTTATCAGCAGGCCTGCTGGCCCTATTAGATCAACACCTAAGACCATTACCATGTTTGTCGCACGCGAAGCTCTCCACATTGCCCAACAGGTAGTCAACCAGGTACTGGCCACACCTCTGCTGTACGTCGGAACACACCGCAGCAGGTCCATCAGCTAGATACATTAGTGGGTTAGGGTTCACGATGATCGTTCATTTTCGTACTCAAGGGAATTTCGTTTTAGAAGGATGAACACTGAAAAGATGAATGCCCTCATCTCTAAATTCGGTTAGGGCATCCTTTCAGTATTCAAGCAATGCAAGAACCTCCCACAGATGAATGAATCAACCTAGTGACTACAATATGACCTAGTGACCTCCCACAACAGATGAATGAATCAACCTAGTGACCTCCCACAACAGATGAATGAATCAACCTTAAGTAGAGTCTTGCCACACGCTGCAGGACGTGGTGTCCATGCTCGTCTATTATGAGCAGTGAGGCCGTTTCTGGCGGATCCTCCAAGACCTGTCGGAGCTGCGCTAACAACAACGGCTTCTTCATGGACAGTAAGCCAGCTGATTCGACAATCTTCTGGACTGTTCGTGCGGCTGAGGATGATTTAGGAAAGAACGGCGATTCCTGGTGGATCAGTTCCAGATGTTGTGAATCAAGTTGTTTACCTGCTCCTAATGAAAAATGTAACTTCTATCAACCACGTTCTTGCTGGAAACAAGCATGACGCCAAAGAACAATACCAAAATTACTAACCTAAGAATTACCTTGTTCCAACCTCCCCAACGACAGGAGCATATGTGCAGTGTCTCCACCTTCGGATGCGGCCGCGTGGAAAGCAGTAAGGATCGCACCTACAAGGTCGTCCCGCTCCATAAGCAATACGAGATCCAGCACTCTCCTCAGCATCAAATTTGTAGGCCAACTTCTCTGTTTCGTGGTTAGAAGGTAGCAGTGCTGCTGAACACTTAGGTGATCTTGCTACGAGTAGATAGTATTCTTAGTAGTGGTAGTTGACCCATGTAGATCATGCTATGAGAATGCAATGCAACAAGAGAGATCAGCATGACCAACGCTCATACATCAAGATCAACATGAACATCTTCAAAGAAGCACAAGAATGGGAATGTACGTAGTAAAAACTGAAAATAATGTGTCCGTGACTTGTTAATCTCATAAATTCCCCATCTCGCCACCTGCTGGACTTCGGGACTGAATTGCCATCAGCTCAACAAACACCTTACCATCATGCCCGACCAAGGCTTCTATTAGAAGGACCAAACGGACGTACCAAAAAAAGCAATCAGTCATCCTCAGCACGGACCACTGCGTAGATGATATTTTCTTGTGCGCTTGCAATATAGCAGCCATCATCTAACCCGATGAATCCTCATCCAAGGAAGCTGTCAAGGAATCCTCATTACCCGAACCTAAGGAATCCTCATTACCCAAGGAATCCTCATTACCCACATGTTTGGAGCGATCGACACCACCACCATTTTGCTCTTCCATAATTCGAAAATTTTTCCCGCAGTGACAATAGCGTCCTCGTAGGAGTACTGCTCTAAATTACCGTAGTCCATGGGGTAGTTATCCCTGACTGCTGCACTACCATACGTGGTGCTTCCTTGATGCTGTCTGACTGTCGATGGGTCATCCCATGCAGCATCACCGTCTTTGTAACCGGAGGGAAAGTTAGAAAAGTAAGGGGGTGAGTATGTTGTCATTGATTGCCTCAGAAGCTTCCAAAAAGATCATTGATAGGTTGCCTGACTGGTTGAATCACCTTCGACGAAGACACAAAAACAAATAACTGGAGAAATTATAGTGCGTGGATATTTACTTACTGACAATACACCTCATTACGTTAATGTTATGGGATGTCCCCATAATAGCCGTGTCATTGAATATCGCATGATCGAGTAAAGAGGGACTCGAGCTCTGTGAGCGGATTTTTTCTGCGGAACGGCCTATAATCCACCGAAGCGCACATGGATCGTCCCAAGCCACTTCACGGATTACTGAGGTGGAGTCCTGATGGAAATGGAGATGAAAACGTTGTTGGTGGACAGAGGAGTGCTTTTACCGTTCGTAATAGCGTCCATTACTTGAGGTAACGGGTAAACAACAACTCTTAACCTTAACTTTCATAACTATTGCATCGACGTCTTATCAAGTACTCGGAGTTTCCCTTTCTTTCTTCATAGATTGATCATATTCTTATCACTGTAAAAATTACTGCGAATTCCAAGGCTTCCAAGGCACGATCTATTGCGTCTGCGGATGGCGTGGAGCGCCCATGTCTTGTTGGGCCTGTTTTTGGATAAAGATGAGAGTCTTTGGTACTGCGATAATTATCCCTCGTGTTGTTGCGTTCTCTCCACCCACCTCCATTGGTGCTGGATCTAGTACTTAAGTTAGAGCAAGAGCTCCCCCCTAATCGTCCATCTTGAGATCGACATCCTAGAAGATCCCTTCACGAGATACATCCTAGAAGATCCCTTCACGAGATACATCCTAGAAGATCCCTTCACGAGATACATCCTAGATCCCTTTTGCCCTTAAAGAGCCAGAGCCTGTCCTCCAGAATGCTTGTCTAAAGATGGATTGCGATGGGGGGAAGCACTAGCAGCCTTAATCAAGTACTCCTTGTTGTACTCGTCCTTGTTGTACTCCTTTGCGTTTCCGTCGTGAAAATACGAGTGATTGTAGCCGTCGTGAAAATACGAGGACTTCTTTTTGTCCTGTTTCCATGTGAATGACGTGGCACCAAAAGTGGAGAGTTAGAAAAGGCAAAGGACTAAGCAAGGCGTGCCGCAGCCGCTCGTGGTAGAAAATCTACATTGATAATATGAAAGAGGAATGCATAATATGTCGATTCCGAATAGGAGGCTTCATACTTAGTATGTGAGCCATAATATGTTGATTCCGAATAGGAGTCACTTGACGTCACCATTCCCTTTCCTACTTCGTCGTATCGAAATTTGCCAGTATTCGAGTCTTTTCCTACTTTGCCTCCAAAATACTCGCTAAAAGTCCCCCTTGGCCCGTTCTTACTACATGAAGTCTTTGCACCTTTGCCCAATGCGAAAGCGCCGCCCTGGAGAAGGTAGCAGTTGATGAACAGACAACGAAAAGAAACTTCCATTTTAACAATATCGCTCTCCGTGTTTATCTATCAAAAGGAAAAACACCTCCAATAAAGCGGCAGTAAGTAATCTTATCAGTACCCCTCCTCGAGTTGAGTGTTTTCCTCTTGCTATGCGGCCTTTTGGTAGGCCGTCGGCTTGGGCGGCTTGGACAAACGGGTTCAAAATTTCGGGTGGCAGTACGCCGGAGTTGTTTGATGCGAAGGCTGTGAAAGGGAAACCACGGGATAAAAACCAGTAAATATTCTTAGTTCATATCTGCCACACCTACAATACATAAAAATACACCTCAACATCTACAATTTCATAACAATACACTCGTCATATATACACATTTATTCTCAATACATAATCACACCCTTTTACATACCTACCTTCATATATATACACTAACATACCATTACTACATTGCACATATCAAATCTATACCATACATACCTTCATGCGAAGGCTGTGAAAGGGAAACCACGGGAAGCTTTAGTATAAATACCAATTCTTGAAGATGAAGGACGACTGTTCATAGTGAATGAACTTTTAGCAACATCTAGAATCAGAACAACAAAAAATCCACAGTGTGAGTCAGTACTTCCCAACTGTTGGAGAGCCAGTGTGGATTCACTAGAAAGTGCGGCAGATCGACCGGCAGGTGGAGGGACATTGATGCCCAGTTCAGCAAATCGATTGGATGGCTGTGCTGCAGTTGATGAGGATTTTGCTGATGTCGAAGGAAGACCTTGCCCGTGCGGTCCCATGGAAGTAGAGGATGACATCGAGGTTGGATTGGACCCCTGCGGTTGTGGACCAGAATGGGATATTGATGATGTTGGATTCGACCCTTGAATTGACGTAGGATTGGACCCTTGTGGCTGTATACCATAGGAGGACGTCACATTCGATGAACAAGACAAAGAGTTCTGGCCCGCTGAATATTAGAGATGGAGAGCAGGTAGAAGGCTTTTTTTCATCGTCCTGTGCTTCATCGTCCTGTGGCTGATTGTGATTGATGTACGTTGTATTTGTACTACCTGCTTTTGCTACTTAGGTCAGAACCGGCTGCAGAACTCGGACACAAGACCCTTCACTACAACACTTACTTATTTGGGACGACACATATACTTAGTATTTTCACAGCTTCACAGGAAACGATGAAGAAACACTATGTACCTTGCTCCTTAAGAGATTGCGCTATTGCTCTGCTGCTGTGGCGGAAAGACCATCTGGCAGGTGGTACTGCTTTCCCTAGTCGGAAATGCCATCTGGCTTGTGGTGCCGCTACTGCGGTGGTTCGTCGGAAACGCCATCCTGCTCCGTTGATCTGTAAAGGGTGCTACAGTCACGATTCCACTCGATCGTGTAAGGTCGACGCACTTCTTAGACGAGCTTACATTGGTTTTAATTTGGTTATTTCATTCACAAAATTATCATCAGTGCACCTCAGATAGTTTTTCTCATCTATCGGCGAGATGAAACAGTTCCTGAGGCGGTCCAAGGAAGTTCTAGAAACCTAATACGAGGATCTGTGTGTGCTCAGGATGTGATATGCCTTAACAGTAGATGGCACTACTGCTGCTCCTGATCGTCCAATGCCACTGTTAAAGCCATTTGCTCCTCCTGCACCTTGCGGCGTAACGCCTCCAAACTGCTGTTGATTCTGCGGTCCTCCTAAAGTGGCAGAACCAGTCGTCGGCATTTGTAAGTTTTGCATTTGCTGTGGTGGTGGTCCCCCTAAGGTTGAAGAGCTTCCAGTGCCTTTACAAGCTGAGTTCACCAGTTGCGGAGTTGATTGCTGGTGCTGCGATAAAGTAGGGGTAGCGAAGAGATGGTCGAGTTGGCTCATGCATGTCCCCATCGCGGTACTGGTTACAGAGAAGCTTCTAGCCAAATCGGAAAAATTTGTAGCACCCATCAACTGTGCCGAAGTCGATGTTGTTGGCGCCAAGAGATCGTTAGTCGAAGAAATGCCGTTGTTGTGAGTCGTCGATGATGTTGCTGCCAATAAACTGTTGTTGTTGTTCGTTGACGATGTTGTCGGCCCCATCATGTTGATAGAAGGTGGCGGTAGAGACACGGCGCTGGTTGTAGTAGAGAGGGGAGGAGGCATCGTGCTCATGGCAACCGATGGGGCGATCCCTAAAGTTGTACCCGCTAAAGCTGTGCCTTGTGTTGATAGTCCTGACATTGAAACAGAACTAGAGGATGAGCCTGGCATATTACTCGTCAAGAGTGGCTGCTCTTGCATGCTATTGAATATCGTTCCACCAGTCGAAAGAAGAAGATTGCTTGATGTTGTTGACGGCATGGAGAACAGCTGGCTCTGGCTCCCACCATTCACAGCGCCTGTCGGCATCATCAGCTGCGACGCCTCTTCGCATAATTGTTGCATCTCACCATTTCATGAAAGGAGAAAACAAAGGGAAAGTATCTATTGAAATTCATGACAAGCATAGCACCTCGAAATTTCTCTGCTTTTTGCATTGAGAAAGCAGCACCAAAATCATCTCGGGCTTTTTTTCACAGTATCAAAACAATGAAGGACCGATTCATTCAGGTACTCATAAGTTGTTTTGCCCTCCAGCAGAGTTGTTTAGGAACAAGATATCGCTATTGTTCGTCAAACAAGATAGAGGACCCTGCACCGAGGAAAATAGCCCCTTCGTCTGCAAGTCTAAAGAAAAATCCGAGTTTGTGATACTCAAACTACGGATCAGCGCACTGCTCTGGCATGTGGTCTTCGCCGTGGTTGGAGCTAGGAGCTTGGAGCTAGGAGCTGCTCCTCCTGTACTAGCCGAAGATGATGCTCCTCCTGTACTAGCTGAAGATGATGTTGTTAGAGGTAGGCTATTGCGGTGCTCGCTTACCCCGCTTGTTATGCCTTTCTCATCCTAAGGGAGAGAGGCATAAAAAGCGGTAAGAAAAGCACCTTTAACCTATCCTTAATGTTGCTCCTGTAGTCGTGCTACTGAATGACCCTGTGCCACACCCAGTCAAAATATTTGGTGCAATCGTAATTTTGTCAGCAGTGCTCGTGGTCGTTGCTCCACCCGTATCATTGTTGATGTAGCCTGCCAGATTGAGACCACTAGGCCCGCCACCTGAAACTCCTGAAGTTGTTCTTGTGCTAGCATTGTTGATCATGTTACAACTGGACGTGGTTGTACTCAGATTAGCTGTTTCGCCATTGCATTCTTCGGGTCATCTTCCCTCACCCTTTTCCTAGTGGAAAACATCAAGGCAAGAATGGCGTAGTGAAGAATGCAATGTTGCTGCAACCCTTAGTCAAAGCTCTGCTGAGAGTAGGCGCGAGAGCTCCTTGCGAATCCACTGCGCCAGGAGGTAATGGGTCTACTACTGGCAATGAGCCCGCGCCACCAACGGTGAACAATCCCGGAAGAGCACATGATCCGCCAGATGAGCCATCATAAGGTAGTGCGCCACCAGGAGCCACGTTTCCGAACTGGTCGGTCTGCATTGTTTGAATCGACTGAGGTTCACTCGTACTACTACTATTCTTCGTACTACATGTTGATGCGTCGTCGGCGGACGCAGAGAAAAGACCGTGTCGGCAGCTGCAAACTACAAAGGTACTTATCACGAAACCACCAGGAGACCTTAAGCCTTAGTTTGTTCCCCGTTCCCGTTTTGGCCAATTGCTTCAGAGGGGAACATGTCAGTCGCGCGACGACGGCCTGGGTGAGGACATCAGTCAGAATCCGGCGTTTGCAAAGAGCGCACGTGAAGGGGTTCGTAGATACCAGTGCGGTTTCCTCGTATTCGATCTGCAGGTGATGGGAGTCACTGCACCGGTGTCTGTCTCCTGGGGTGAAGTCTGTCAAGGACACAAAAAATCAATTCGACTAGTAAGACGAGAAAAAAATCAGAAGTCGCTTTGAGGATGCAACAGCCGTAGAAGTTACCTTAACTTCTTCTTATACCTTATGTTTATGTTGCAGTTGATGTTGATGAGAATGTCCCCAAAATTGGTGTTGATGATGTTGTGGGGTATCGGGTCTCAAAATTTCCTCACTTCCTGGTGATGTTTCTGTGCTATATTTAGTAAGCTTTATGCCATTTCTGGTTAGACGAAATAAACCTATGCTAACTTCGACCAAACTATCATTAGAGGCACAACCTATCTGTACCTACCCTCACGTGGTCAATCAATCAAAGTAGGGGCAAAACGCGGAATAAAAATGATTCACATTAGGCGAGAAGGAGAACTTCTCACTTACTGCCTGGCGCGGGATAAAAATGATTCCAGTGCTTGATACTGATAAAAAACAACTCCTCTGTCCTATTCACAATCTCTTTTCAAAAAGTCATGATTTACACGAGCTTCTATCTCGGTACAAGGAAAATCATGGGTTCCCTAACAGGAAAGTACAGCTGGTTTGAAAAATATTTTTGATACTCTGTTATTGGTCGTTCTAGAAGAAACTGAACTATCGAGGCACAGCTAGTACTACAAAGGCTGTATCAACTGTTTGAAGATGTACTTTCTTGGAAAACGTTACTTCGTAGTACAACTCACACGACGGACAGATAATCGTTCCTGATCTTTTGCAGGAAGAGAATCTTCAAAACCAAAAAATCATCATCCACTTAGTACAGTTTGTGCTTGCTTATGCTTACATTCTTGGAAAATGAGTGATCAAAGGGATAAATCTGCTCGAGGAGAAAATGAGGGCAAGCGGATTTAACCAACATTGAGGGGGATTAAATTCTAATCTCTACAACTCAGATGCCTCATGACCTAAGAATGTCTAATGTCTGGTTACTTAAGACTAAATCCGTCGCACTTCTATGATATTCACATGCTTTTGTCGTCGAAATAATCTAGGACAAGGTTCTTGTCGAATAGTGAGGCTTCATGTGTGGATTGATACGAAGATCAAAATGAGCTCCGATACTATGAACAAGGGATTCCTTATACTTGTAAAACAAAAACAATAAGCTACAGTTGCAATTCTTACGTAGGTAGTAAGACGAAAGAATCAATGGGGACTATGAATGACTCAAGCACGACTGTGATGTTGGTGTACTACCATATGCCGAGTGCTACATCACACTATGATAAGGAGGAGGTCTTCACTCATCATTAAGAGACGGGGCTGGGAGTGGGGCAATCTCTCACGACCATGTAACTACAAGAGCGGGGAAAAAACTGACAGAGCAGGGAAAAAACGGACCTGGTATTATGGGGTAGAAATCAATTAGACTGGAATAATCATGATGTCCACATAACAACAGTGGACACGCCAAGGGTCGACCAGACACCACTTGATCACTTGGAAGCAAAGAATATCTGAAACCCTCTAGTACCTCTAAGAACTGACGATCGAGATAAGTACTCTAAGAGTTGTTCTAAATTGCTTCTATTGAATTAACGCATGCACCACTTTGAGTTATTACCGCTTCAAATTATATTCCGCTACTTCGTCAGCGATGAATATGAATAGTTACGGCACGCGTAATGCGAAGGTTCGACAACTTCAGAGCCGGGCGAGGGTATTAATTAAGTCCCTTGAATCAAGCCACGGCAGTTTGAAGCAAGTGAAGCCTCTATTCACATGATGCGTGTCTTCCTGTTACTACGCGTACCTTGCAGAGAGAGACATTGCATTACCTCTTCTAACCTTATGAATGTATTTTTCTGATATGCATACTTATTAGACAGACCTCTTTCATTCAACGACGGGAATACAACGAGGGAGGCAACTGTAAATCTTCGTAGCGGGTAGTTCTCAATGTCTAATCAAGGATGGGATATGTAGGTTTAACTCGCTTGTTCTTCCATCGTAATTGCTAACGAGAAAAACGAAAATCACAAGTGACCACAACCTCGTAACTGTCGTCAACTACAACTTCTTGAATGTATCACGCCCCCTCTACTCCCCTCTACTGCACCGCATGATAAATCTGGCGGTATTCATTCGACTTATAGATCCCGATCCTTCGTCTATCTTTTCATTCGACTCATTCGGTTGTTCTTCCATCGTAACTCGGTTGTTCTTCCATCGTAATTGCTAGTAACGAGAAAAACGAAAATCACAAGTGGCCACAACATCGCAACTGTCGTCAACTACAACTTCTTGTAACAGCCAACGAAGAAAATTGCTCTGAGTCTGAGATGGTGAATGGATAATCCGTGGATAACGCTCAATAATGACTGAGTAATCTTCGTTCAACAAGCGGCGTAGTATAAAGCACAACTCTTGAAGAATTCAAATTTATCATGCTGACTTAGTACCAAGTGAGCACAACCTATCATAGTATAATGTGTAGTGATTCTTGAGATTGTGGACGGTGATCTTTTAATCACTCCTATATTTTGATCTTCAGGGGTCAAGATAGTGATGAAGAGCATGGAGCAGATCTTCTATTGTCAGCCTATCAATAGAGCCTCGTATTCAAAAACGTAGTCTACTGATAGTACTTCGCGTTTCATCAACACTGACTTTCTTAAAAATCAATTCGTGTCGTGTGTTCACGTAGTGTTTGATTACTTCGTGTTTCGAACGTTACACGGCAACGATAAATCCAAATATCGCGTTAGGTAGAGAGGAGAGCACCAAAGCAGGAAGGAAGCACGACGGGCGACGCCAGCACACACTCGGCTAGTATTGAGGTTGTGAGGACTTTCAATACTCAACATTTTTTTCGAATCATCATTAACAAAGAATGAATCAAATTCAAAATCATTCATTTAAAAAATATTTACAAACACGTGAAGAGATCAACCTCAACGGAAAAAAACCCATGTATGCCGACCAAATCAAAGCCGCGACCGCCATCAATTCCCTTTCCTACTACATTCCCCCCATTGGATTTTCCCGAGATGTTGGTGATGATGTGAAGAAAAAAGAGATGTGATCATCCATGTAAAAAAATTAAGGATGATGAAGGCCCTCAGACTCGTGGAAGATGATAAGTTCAAGTTCAAGTTCACACATCACCATCACTGTCTCTCTCTTCTGGTTTATCTCCATGTCTCGATCTCCACAATCATCAGGATCTTGAAGATGTAACCGATTAATCGTGTAGTTGTCTTACCAACAGTATATGAATACTGCACCTGCCTCTCACTTCTAGATCCGGATCAAAGGTTCCACTAGATCCTAAAAAAAGGCGCCACGAGCAACAGCAGGTGAATGGTGATATCGTCCCGAACACGCGACATCTACGAGCGGTCGCTCATCTAGAAAGAGACGAGTCTGGTGGAGATAGAGTTGTTACAATCATGTCGTGCTTCGGATTTGAATCGTTCTTCTCTTGGCTTAGGATGCCAGGCGATTGCGAAAGTTTTTAGCAGCTGTATCTAATGTATTACACTCAAGGTAGCAACTGTTTTTTCCTGAAGAGTCTTCTTTGGCTGTGCAACAAGTAACGCCTAGAAGGCCACTCAGATAGGACGAGTAGGTTAATTATACAACTATCGGGTGAAGGACCACGCAAATAGAAGTAGGCTATACTCCTGTATGCTCATGAAGAAGATCAATGAAGTTTTTGATTCTATTTCTTAGAAGCGATGTGGATCCCCCTTTCAATCACGCGTTTTCATTTTACATAACAAAGCCAGAAATATATGGTTAGATGCGTAGACAACTGGATCTAAGGCCTACTTGGATTATCGTTCCTATGGGGTCTTTCGATTCGTATGGGGTAAGATTGTTCTCAAACATAGGAATGACGGACGAGATAAGGGCTACTTAAATGGGTAAATTTGTACAAGCCGGGTAATGTGCACTGACTGGTAGAATCAATATCAAATTATTTAGTTCATTTTGTATTTTGTGATTCATTGAGAAAAACTTTGTAGTTCTAAATTGTTCCGCTTTACGGTGCATGATGTTTCTCGCATCTCGCTATCACTCGGCATTGCTTGTACAAATGTTTTTATTAGTATGTGTTGGAGGCGCACATCCTCACAACAACTTCAAATCCTTTTCTGCTTACTTCAAATCAAAAAGTCTTCAGTTCTGCAAATCGTGAACTCGCGTATTCTCTACTGGCCTTAAAGAGTTATCAATTCCACTTCGCTCGGATCATTTTTCTTCCTGCTTTCTTGTGGTGTATTTTCTTGTAGTTCGGAGTCTGCAACAGGCGATTGTTGTTCTTCAAGACTTGCATCTACAACTGCTTCTTCTTGTTTTCCCCTGGTCATCTCCCTCCTCGCTGCATCGAGATCAGCGAAGTTCAGCCTACACTTGAACGAAGACGATGAGTGCACAGACCCTGAAGTTGTCGAACTCAAGGTCCCTTGTGCTGAGTCCTCTGGCGAATCCATTGTCCCTGGACAGCCACCGTCGTCTGAGGAATCATCGGGGTAGACGAACTGTTTTGTTGGAGTTTCGTACGAAACAGGGTAAGCATGTTGGTAAGCAGCACGAGGCGAACTATAATTCCTGTTGTCTCCAAGTTCGAGTCCTTCTAGGTCATTGGAAACGCTCTCACGATCACGGCCGGAATCTGGAGAACTACTGCCCAGATTAACTCGAGGATCTTGTTTATTGTTATTGGTCCGACCGTAACTGCTGAAAAACATCAGATTGCTTGGTTCTTGATCTCCCTGTTCACCGGCACTAAAACCAATACAACAAGCAACATCCTTTACAACTTCTACTTGGTTTTGTTCCGAAGTCGAAGTAGTCGTAGCAGTACTACTTCCCACTGGTCGTTCCTGCGTCCTCCCATAACTGCTGAAGAACATCATGTCCTCTGCTACTTCTGCAGGTGGTGCTACATCACCGTTTTTCTGAAATCCTACTGAATCGTGTCCTTGCTCTGGTGCCTTTGCTCGTCCGTAGCTACTTTCAAATGGTTTTGTGAAGTCGATTTCGCGAATATCAACACCCGGTTTCCTCTTGTTCTTCTCTCTTTCCACCGCACTGCCACCACCACCAAAATTGTTGATGTAGTCGTCGAAAGAGAGCATTAGGTCATGACTTTTTTTGTCAAGAAGTACAACGTCTTCGCCTTGTGGTTGTATAGTACTATTACCACTAGTGTCGTCCACTGGCGTACTAAGAACATCATCCATGGGCGTCGGAAAACCGACGCTTGTGTCACAAGCCGTAACCAAACCGTCGCAAGCGGAAGAAGGACACTGCGTTGTGCGCGTGGCCACAGAAGCCACTGATTTTGTGGGCGACCCCGAACTACCATGTGATGATAAAGTATCTTCTTTTGTGCTTGGCTGTGTTGCTTTGTTGTACTTGTCACGATGTTCTTCTTGTTCACCACTTAATAGTCCTGTATCAGATGAGGTGCTCTGATTTCCACGTCCTTGTCCTTCAGAAAAACAAGAGGATGCTCCACAAGAACTGTCTTGGTCGTTGAAGTCCAATTTACACGTTTGCAGTAGGGAAGTAGACGTCTGAGAACCGCTGTGCGAAGGCGACAGTTGTGTAGAAGGCATCTCCATCAGATCGTGAGCGATCTCATCCTGTTGAGCTTGTTGGTATTGATCTTGGTTCTGTTGTTGCTGGTGTTGTAGGCTATGCTGTTGCTTATGTACATTCTGTTCCACCCGTTGTTGCTGTTCAGAAGGAGTAAACACTGAAGGCTTAGTCTGTTGCAATTTCGGCTTCGGTCTCGAAGCAGACCGACGTCGGTCGTCTTCCTGCGATACAACGGGTCCCTTGGTTCCCATAGATACCTTATTCTTACCAGCAATGCGCTCCTTCACGTCTCCTCGCGTCTTACTAAAAAGTGTGATGCTGCTTGCGTTTGAACCCGTCTCAAACAGATTGAAGGTGTCAGCCCAGGACGACCCGCGTTCAGGTCTTGGCCGACTGACGCGTCGAATACTAGAACAAACTACAGCTTTAGCATCCGTTCCTCCAACACCCTGCTGCGTCCATAAAGGAGGTCTTGCAGCACGTCGATGATTGTTGGCACGTCTACGACTCGGAAAACGAGAAGATTGATTTTGCGCGTTCACTCTTCCGAAAGAGGTAGAGGTAGACGAGCTAGTCTCAGAGCAAGTGCCGCTGCTCGCTGACGAAGGAGGCGCACTGCAACTTGTAGCTTCGTCAGCTGTTCTTGTCACATCCTTTGGATTTGTGCCACCAGTTATTAGTTCTGCTTCGTGAGAATAAAGCTTTCTGGAAGCTGACACACTGCCACAGTACGCCGAATGACTACGCTCCACGGAAGCACGGTAGTTACGGCGCAGTACTTCGAGACTACCTCGAGTTGTTGTAGCGTTGAAATTTCCTTTCCTCGTGCTCCTCTTCGTCGTCCCATTCTGGAATGTTGGCAACATTTCACGCCACAGAGCCTCATCCAAGCGGTCCTGTTCATCATCGGCATACCAAAATCTAGAGGATTCTTTGCCACGCCTCTCAAGCCATGCACCTGCCGAAACAGCACGCCGATGGCCTTCGGCAACGAACATGTTAGCGAAGGACTCTAAAATCTGCGCAGGGCCATCCGCCGCTGAAGCCGTGTTGTCCAAAACGGTTTTGAGTTGTTTCTTCATTTTCTGCGTGTTTTTGGGATCACTGTTCTTGAACAGAAGTTGATCTTTGCTCCAGGGCTTTGAATCTTGATGTTGCTGTTGAAGTGCCGCTTGTCTTTGGCCATGTTGCTGCTTGACCGTGTCACCTGTTTCAATCATGCCCCCGGTTCGTTTCATTCCCACAGCACTATTATGAACTCCTGGGGCACCAACACACTTTCGTTTTATCACGGCATTTAGTTCCGCAATGTCGGTCAAACCCTTTCGCTCGACATGATGTTTCACAACTCTAGTTGCACTAGTGGTTCCCACGACCACTGCTTGTGGTGGTTCTTGAGGTAAGAACACCAAGCGCGCGCCGCCACATGACTTAGCGTTCAAGGCTGTAGTCGCATTCAACGCTGTGTTGGCCTCCAGTTTGCGTTCGTCCTCCTCCCGATCCTCAGTAGCGGTCGACCACGCCGATGAGCCTGTAGCGGACGACCAAACAGAAGCAACGTCGTCTTCGGTGACTTGCAGTGTGGGGATGGCGCGTGGCAGCTGAGAGAGAGTCTGCTCGGACAACACGAGTTGTTGTATGGGTGACGGCTGTGATGTTTTCTTTTTTGAAGATGAGGGGCCAAAACATGGAGACGAATCGCCATCGCTCGGATGGTAATTTTGCTGACATGTTAGGGCACCAGACAATGTTGTACCTCTGCTAAAGCCAGGTGGTTGTTCATCTTGTTCTGGTAGAAGATCAAGATCTTCACCTCGTACAGGAAATGCCTCGGAAATGTAGTTGAGATGCTTGTTATCCTCCTCGTTTTCATCTTCCAGGTACTTGTGTTGTGCTGGCTTCGCACAGCCAGGTTCGTCTTCAGATAGAGGATGTAGAGAAAAGTGAAATGCATCTTCTTGTTGTTCAGTCGGCAGCGACACATCCGCGCGCCTCCTCTTCTTGGATCTAGATCGTTGTTTCTTGCTGTCGTCACCTCGTGTTGCAGGTTGAGGATTTGTGTTGTTATTCTGTGTTGAGGAAGATGACACAAATGGCAGTGGCACGCCCGCATGTGATGAACTCGCCAACTGCTGTTCTTGTTCGTGCTTGTTGTTCTTCAATCCAGAAGTAGAATGATAGTCGTCTACTTGTTGATGTTCACGACGCCTTTTGTGGTCTCCTAGAAGTGGCTGCTGCGAATACTCCTTCATCTCGTCCATGCCATTCCCACAAGGAAGCAATGCTTCTTGCTCTTCATCCGAAGCTGACCCATGACGCCTTCTTTTGCTATGATCTTGTTGGTCGTTTCCTTTGGCTCTGCTATCTCGTGACTTTGACGTAATCAAGTGTGGAACAATGGCACCCCTAGAAGATCTAGAACTATTATTTTTGTGTACCACCTGCGGAGGCCTAGTACTAGAGTAGTCACTACTTCTACTGCCTCGCATCGTCTGACGACTACTAGTATCGTTTCTTTGGTGCAGCTGTTGTAGTAGAGGCTGTTGTTCTTGCTGCAAATACTGCATTGGTGCAGCGTAATTAAAGTCAAAAGCAGATGCAACATCCGTGGATTGACTTTCTGTTACACTGCCTTCCATATCTTCGGACAGAGCACCCCCTTCAAGATCTTCATTCAGGGAGTCCCCCGCATCGCTCGCTGTCTCATGCTTTCCTTTCTCACCTTTCTTGTTGTTCCCTTTACCATTTTTGCTGCCACTACCAGAACTGCGAGATGATCGGAGGTCGCGATAGTAACCTTTCAGCCTTGCTCCACACCTCTTGGTTAGCAAAACGCACAGAAGCACCATCAAAACCCAAGCTGCGCACAATAACATGCCACTTAGAGCGTGGTCACGGTACTCATGCAAATGTTTGACACTGTGCCAAATTCTCTGCAACCTGGTCTCCCCAGCAGGCATCGATTCAACCACAGCATCTATGTCATAGCCATCCACGACAGCCTCTGCTTTCCGAGGAACTTGTTCTTCCAAATTACTAGTACTTTGTTCAAAATTACTACTCCCACTAGTGACTTGTTTCGAACTAGCGTGACTGAAAGCGGTAGGTTGATACTCGGGGAGAACGACTGGATTCTTCCTTGATGTTCTACCTGTTCTTGTCGTTGCAGAAGACCCCTTAGCTCTCTGAAATTGTCGTGGACGTTCTGAAGGCCCATGAGTCGCCTCTCTTGTTCCTGCCTCGCCGCCATCACTATGCACTTCACCGTCCGGACCGACGGCAACATGCCTTCGGCCACCACGCCTGCGCCTCATCCTGGTGATCGCTCTTGAAGAAAACTAATTAAGTGTGCTTACTTTGTTTGTGAGAAGATAGAGATGGTCAGATTTTTGTCAAGAGAAGAACTTCCTATCTACTACTCGTCACTATAATATGATGAATTGCCGGCCGGCACCAAATAATTCAACTGCGAACAGCACGACAAGGATGTCAAGCTCTACTTCCATTCCATTCCATGAAGTCTATCATTGGCGAGCATGCCAACCCCTAGACTATACGACGACACCCTGCAGCCTCAAATAATATGAAGTCACGAAGCGCAACGCTAATATACTTTGCAATGAAAATAAGCGGGGGAATACTATACAAATACAATCACCTCCACTGAATATCATTGTTCATTCCGTTTGCTTATCAATACAATGGCTTAATAGCCATAAACTTCAGAAGTTGGGATCTTTGCGGGTCATGGACGGGACGGGTACTGCAAGTGCTCATGTTACCGATCGACCGATACCTCTTCTTCCAGAAACACCGAATGCATATAGAGATGGTGTCGGTCCACCAGGGAACTTCTAAAGGTCTCCTTATCTAATATCGACCGATTGGCAGCTTTAAACTACGTGTTGTAGGAGTTGGGTCTTTCAAATGCCATAGTTTGGGATCTTCAAAACCGATTTTTGCGAGAGCGTCGAATTACTTATAAGTAAGCCGCTTCCACGCACTCGCGTCGTGGCTCCGCTAATTTAGTTGTGTCGTACCTGCGTCATTTAGTATTTCCTTCTCTCCTTGTCCTACCGCTTTGTCAGTCTGTTATTCGCGAAGAGTAACAAGATCAATTTCATCTGAAGGGTACTATCCAAGTCTATACTATGAGATACAACTAGTAAACAGCTAAACAGATACTTCTGAAAAGGCATGATAAGTGTCGAGAAATGTCGCGACCGTACGGAGTTCAGCTGGTCGAGACACAATAAGTAATAGGACTATGTACTACGTGTAGTACTAGAAGAGCAAGGTAGAGTTCTAAGTTCTTTCATCAGCAACCATTATGCTGAAAAATCTGAACTACTTTTCATCGATATCACAATGAACTTCTAGTCCTTCTCATCTACGACCTGATATGGACAATTCAGTACTACTTTGAAATAGCTAACATGAAATAACAAATAATAGCAACATGAGCAACATGAAGAAGATTCATTTATTTGTTTGATGTGATGCAAGTATTGCTACTGAGAAATTTAGTTAAGGAGGAAACGACCTATCTATCATTTGATTTCTTGGCTCTGATTTTAAGGGAAACCATCATTTTTTTGGAAACGTCTACCACGACCTTTGGATTGTTCTATTGGAATTCAGATCTGTAATTGTAAGTGAAGCCGCGTCGTCAGCCTTCTTGTTGCTTGATATCATAAGGTAAAATATCGATTTATCTCGTGTTTGAAAATTATCAAGTTAATGCACTCGTTTCAAGATTGATTAAATCTGTCTATTAGATTTCTACTAGATTGATTAAGATTAAAAGATATAAATACAAGGCTCCTATTAATGATTCATCGATTAGATGTTCGACTAGATTCAAAGTCACGATACTTGATCTTGGTGTGATCCATCGCACGCAGGTATTGGATCACACAATACTTAATCCAGTGCTACTCTTATATAGAGCAAACTCTTCTAACGGATACTGCTCTTCTTAAAGAACTTGCTTTTGTGCATGGTCGCGTTCATCCCCGAAAGATACGCGTTCCCATGCTGCGTATTGTTGCCGTGCTGCGGATGTTAGAGAAGGAAGGAACCAAACAAAAATGGTACATCTCGTTGTCATTCTGGAAGCATGTTTCTATGTCCTCTATTTAAGTTGTGGTTGCTGTAGGTACTAATGTACATCTACTACAAAAAGGATTAGGCACATCCTCCAGACCCTGTCGAGAACGAGATATAGCACTAGCACAACTTCTACTCTCGAAGTTAAAAACAATATCTGTAAGTGCCGTAATGGTGCCCACTGAAGCCTCCGGACATTGTGCTATGGAGACCGAAGTTTTTCGGCTTGAATTTGAAGGGCTTCATGTGTTTGGCGCCTCCCTTGGCACCATGAATTGGCGGAAGGTTGGTCTTCTGAGACATATGGTCTTCTTCCCGGCTTTCCGCTTGGGACTGAGCACCACCCGTTCGATCTGAAGAATCGGTAGAGGGTGAAGGAAGGTTGAAGATTATCATAATTTCATAAGAATTAGTATACGCAGCTGAATAGAGCAAGAGCAAAGCATATCCGGACACTTCAGGGAAATTCAAATGGATTTGGAAGTAAGAAATGCTATTGTTGTCGATAGTACAGAACGTGCTGCTTGGTGCGCCTTGTTCCATCCCTGTTGTGTGAAGCGGCACTGTTCTCTCGGGTACTTCCTCAAAATATGGCGAGAGTAACCTGTTTTTTTTGTAGATAAGTTGAGTAGTTACAAGAGGTTTTCGTAATTAAGCAGCACTTATAAGCAAAGGGTACCCTGAGTGCCTCGCGTGGCACTCAACGAGGCACCTTAACGACGCGTCCTCTTAAGTGCCTCGCACGGCGGAGCGGTACTTCCCATAAGTGCCTCGCAAGGCACTTAAGGAGGCACTTAAGCGACGCTCCCCTCAAGTGCCTCACACGCCGGAGCGGCGCTCCCCTTAAGTGCCTCGGGTGGCACTTAGAGTGGCACCTAAGCGACCCTTCCCTTATGTGCCTCGCGTGGCACTTCGAGTGGCACCTAAGCGACCCTTCCCTTAAGTGTTTCGCGCAGCACTTACCGAAGCACCTAAGCGACCCTTCCCTTAAGTGTTTCGCGCAGCGTTCCCTCAAGTGTTTCGCGCAGCACTTAGCGAAGCACTTAACGATGCCTTAGCGACCACATTCACCACTTAAGCGAGACTCATATCGCTTATGATGAGTGACCACATTCACTACTTAAGCGAGCCTGGTATTGCTTAATTGGTGACCACATTCACCACTTAGGCAAGACTCATCAAGCTCAGGTAGTGACAACATTCACCACTTGAGCGAGACGCATCTCGCTTAGGTAGTGACCGCATTCACCACTTAACCTTAAGCGAGACCCATATCGGCTAATTAGTAACCACTTTCACCGCTTAAGCGAGACCCATATCGCCTGATTAGTGAATACTTTCACCGCTTAAGCGAAAAATGAGTTTCATATGATTCACCAAAGAATAAGAAACAGAGAGAACAACAATACGCTACTCATGTGAAGAGTTGAAGTACCCATGCCTTGCCGTGATTCTTTCCTCTGGGTCGTACCGAAGAAGCTTCTTCAATACGCTAAGAACGTCTACACTAGCGTGCGGTATCAAGTGGTCGATGCCAGTACCTGTTAATATGATTTCAAAAAATAGAAATGGTTTTAAAGGTGATGAGCTTAAGCGTCTGTGAATCGACCGACGATGTGAGTCGGGTGGTATTGAACACCCACTAAAAAGACTAAGCAACTACACTATCTAAGATGTCATCCCATCAAATGAAAGTACTTAACACAACTAAGCACCTTTCTTCTCCGGAAACGCTACGTCTGAGTTCAACTTGAATTTCCGTAAAACGTCTTCTGCTGGTGTGCCTAGGATACTATGGATTTTCTGAAGCTGGTCCATCTCGTTTTGTCCTGGGAAGAGCGGGAACAGCGCTAAAACTTCGAACCACACACAGCCTGCTGCAAACAAATCCATTTTGTAGGAGTAGAAGCCGTCTGTCAACAAACACTCTGGCGCTCGATACCATCGCGTCGATATGTACTCCGTGTACGGAGGACGAGAGTAGATACCTTAGAATCGGTTCAAGATGTTCTTCACATGTTGAGAAGTATAAGTAGGAGCAGTCGTCGTGGTACGTCTACTGAAGATCAATCGATATTGACAATTTCATATGATGAAGAAACAAGAAGCAACTAGTACCATCTGAACAAAACCACAGAAGCATTCGAAACAGTAGAAAAACGAAAGCTAATCATGTGAACCAAAATCAAAAAAAAATATACCTCTGCAACTTCCCAAATCTGCGAGCTTCAAAGTGTCCTCCTGGAGGAGTAAGTTTTCTGGCTTCACGTCACGATGGAAAATGCCGTTCCGATGCATATGATCCAGTGCTCTCAACAACGACCGCATAAATGTTTTTACTTTCTCCTCTGGAACGTAATGCCTGGTAGAGTTATTTAGGTGTAAGATGATGATGATTGTACCTATACTAGAGGTGGTTGTTGTTGTTGTTATAAAGTTCATCCTTTGCACCTCCGGAGGAAGAAAGAATCATATAAGTAGAGGCCCAATCCTCGAAGACTGTAGTAGTCGTTGGTCTTCTTACTTGGTGAACACCGTCAGAGTTGGACGGGAAGATCGCATCTACAAACTGATACTTTCTTCCTCTTACAACCTCCTCCTACAAACACCTATAGAGTACGCACAAGCCTTATATAGTCAGAGTTGTACCTTCTTCCCCTTATAAGCTCGTATAAGTTCATGTCCATCAATTCGAAAACTAATGCTAGTCTCCCTGTTGGCTCGTCATACAGGACTTCGTGAAGCGTGATTATATTTGCATGCCCTTGTAACCGCCTCAACGCCTGAATCTCTCGCAGGTTGTTCACCTGGTGGTTTCAAGTTGTTTGATGTTGAGATAGTACCTAAAGAGTTTGTCAAAGAAGGAGTATCATCAACGAAGAAAAAAATCAGTAGAAAAAGTAAATCCAAAGCAGACAAGAATCTTTGATACAATTTTATGCAAGGAAAGAGTAGTACCTGATCTATGCTCTCGAATCGATTTTTCATGCATTTTATTGCGACGTATCTCCCCGTCTTTATACTTTGGGACTTGAGCACCTCGGAAAAGGTTCCCTCACCCTTTTTTGAAAGAAGCTTGTACTTATGCATCTTGTTGCTCTTCTTCTGTGGTACCTATTGGCACCTACCTTAGCTGCAATCTGTGTGAACTTCTTCTAGATGCACTCTTTTTCTGGTAGAAGTGGCACCTCTTACCTTTTTCGAACTCTTTCTAGGTGTAGTAGTAGATTTATCTCCGCTCTTCTATCTCCGTCGACCGGTCGACTTGTTCTAGCTCTTCTACTACTGACGTTTACTTCTTCTAAGTCTTTCCCGTTACTCTTGTGCACGCAGAGTCGAAGCCAAGATGAATGCGCCTCCTCCTCTACAAGTAGTAGATTGAATGTCCCCTCTCGCAGCGACGTAGGTACTAAGTATATCCGTCTTCGAAAACACCGTCGCAGCCCCTATGCCTTATCGTCCATGTAGACGAGATTTTCTTCCCTTGAAGATTTTGAGCGTCCCTAAATCCAGGCTCAACCTCCTTTCTTTTGCCTCTTCATCCACTGGAAATTCCAGACAGAGGACGCGCTTGATCTCTAGACGCGCTTTTTTCTCCCTCCAAGATTCTTGCAAGCAGACGAAGATATCGCACTAGTAGTACTGCTTCTCCCGTCGACTACTACGAGTTCTACTGAGAAAATGTGCTCGACATAAGGAAAAATCGCCACAGGAGACCGCTTTGTCTTGGAGAAGATGCTCTTCACTCGCCTCCTTTCTGCGGATGCTGTTTACTACTCGTCCCTGTGGTTTACTAGTCCCTTTCTCTTTTTCGCCTCCGCGATGTCGTTAAGACCTCCACTTCTGCAGTGTGATAGGAGTTGCTTACTTTCTCCAAACCTTGAACCTTTGCCTTTGTGCTTGTGCTTACGTAGTCGAAGACGCTGCACTGAAAGAGCTGCTACAATCTTCGGAAGGCGACGAAAAAGTACGCCTGGACCCCATGACGACTTTGGAACTTAAAAAAAAAGCGACTTTGGAACCCGTGACCACGTTTGAATTATATACGAATAAGAAGCTTGAACTTTTAATTGCAAATATTATTCGAAAGGTAGTATGTTGTCTCTATGGTTTGAAGTTGATATTGATGAGCAGGAGTTGCAGGTGATATATTCGCGGTGCTTTCTTTCTACTGACGGATCTTTATTGATCCATGAATGATCTGTAAAACAAATCATGCTTACAACTCTGCTCCGTAGTTACAGTTACACAAAAAATAATTGATTGTATGTTTTTGACTCGTACAGTGGAAGAGGAGGAGGTGGTTTTGGCGGAAAAGGGTGTCGATGTGGATGTCGTAATGGGGACGAAAGTGGGATGGTAGTGTTGTGAGGGGAAGGGACGGGCACTCAATCAAAATGCTGTTGCGATGGCTCTATGGGTGCTACCGTATCCACCTCTCATACAACACACGACACACTCTTCTTTCTTGTATCTCTTCTCACGTCTCGAAAGGGTTTGTCGCAAAAACAGGAATGTGATGCTGCACCGAGTTTTTTTGAGTCTTACTCTCAAACGATTCTAGACTCCTTTCTCAACGACGACATGGAACCAGCGATAATCCAACAGAAAAGGTGCTTCGAGTCGTCATCTTTTAGTTTCATGCCGAAACGACAAAAAATCCCGCATCTTACAATGCAGGTGTTGCAATGAAAAACTTTTATCCGCGAATATGCACAGCCGCTTTCACTAAAGCAAGCGCCGGATGCCTACTTACTCTCTTCAGCGAATGTTCCTCGAATGCAAAGATTATCCTGAAGCAAATGGGTTCGCGGATTGACGACAAGCCGACGACAATCGCGCCGGGAATGACGAGACCCCCTTCCCGGTATGGACGGCAGAGTGCCTATACAGAATGCAGAGAGGGAAAAAGCTGGCCGCACGGCTTAGCCCGGGGGCCCGTGTCAGTCTTCTCGCCCCCGCGCTTCCACCGGCGTTTTTTTGTTACATTTTTTCACCCCACCACCCCAAGCCCAGGCGCAGCGCCGCAGCTTCCGGCCCGTTGCCTGGCGCTGCGGTGGTTCAGATATGAAGTTCCTCCTACGGCGCTGCAGTCCAAGATGCACCGCTTCAGCCTTTCAGCCCTGGCGCCCCTGCTCTAGTCTTTCCGCCCTCCGCTTCGGCGCGTCCGCCTCCATGTCGCCGCTTCAGGGTTTCGGCCGCACGCGATGCCCCAGCCTGCCTCCGCCTCCGGACTTTTTCTGCTGTTCCAATCTTGATCCCCCAGGCCCCGCCCGCCCGCGTTGGTCTTGGTTCAGGCGATTCGGCTATCGTCCTGGAGTTCAGCCCCGCAGCCTCAGCCACAGGCCTGGCCCTTCGGTTTCAGGCTTTCAGTATCGTGGTCGCCGCAGCTTCAGTTTTTCCGTTTTAGTTTTTTTGGCTTCGTTCCTTGCTCATCATCTGCAGCTTTTCAATGTCGGCGCTGCGGCTTCCGCTTTCCCATCTGTTTCGGCTTTTCGGCTCTGGTTTTTCAGTCGCTGCCCTTTGGCTTCAGTGTTTCGGCTTCATTCTTTCCAGCCTCCTCTCGGCCTCAGTTTCTCAGCCCCCTCCGGCCTCCCGGTTTCGGTCTTTCGGTTTCAGGCTCTGCCCTTAGCTTCAGTTTCTCAGCTTGGGCCTTCCAGTTTCAGCCCTTCGGCTTCCTCCCGGTCTTTCCGCTTCCGTTTTTCAGTTTCTGCGCTCCATCTTCAGTCCCTCGGTTTCAGTCTTTCAGGTTCGGCGTTTCCGTCCCGGGTTTTCACCCTCGGGCCTTCGGTGTCGGTTTTTCGGTTTCCTTTCCGCTTCAATCATTTCAGTCCGCCCGCTTCAGTCATTTCAGCCCTTGCGCTCCAATTGTCTTACGCACTTCACCGAGGTTCGGCCCGTCTGTCGGCTTCAGTCTCTCGCCTTCGGTTTTTCCTCTTCAGTTTTCGCTCTTGTGGTTTTGGCCTCCCGGCTTCAGCCTTTCGGCCCCAGTTTCTCAGCCTCTGCGCTTCAGCTTCAATGCTTCAGCTTCAGCCTTTCAGTTTCGCTCTTCAGTTTCAGTCTTTCCGTCTCGGTTTTTTGGTTTCAGTCTTTCCGCTTCGGCGTTTCAGCTTCAGTCTTTCGGCCTCAGGCCTTCGGCTTCGGTCTCAGCCTTTCAGCTTCAGCCTTTCGGCCTCGGCGTTTCCGTTTCGGTTTTTCAGCTTCGGCCTTTCAGTGCCACTCGCTTCGGGTTTAGTTGCTCGCGCTTCAGCTTTTCGGCTTCGGTCTTTCAGTGTCACTCGCTCAGCTTCAGGCCCTCGGCGTCAGCTTCTCCGCTTCGGTGTCTCGGTTCCGGTCTTTCAGTTTTTTCAGCTCCGGCTTTTCGGCTTCGGTTTTTCGGCTTCAGTCCTTCGGCCTCGTCCTCTTAGGTCCAGCGCTCCGGAGTCAGCTGTTTCCGGTTTCGGCTGTTGTCGGCTTCACCTGTTCCCGGTTTCCGTTTTTGAATTTCTGCCGCCTTCTGGTTCAGTTCTTCGGCTTCGGCCTTTCCGTTTCAGTCTTTCCGCTTCAGTTTTTCGGCGTCAGCTTTTCAGTTCCAGGCTTTCAGTTTCAGGCCTTCAGCCTCAGTCTTTCCGCCTCCGCCCTTCGGCTTTTCAGTTTTGGCCTTTCAGTTTTTTAGCTTCAGCCTTTCAGCCTCAGTCTTTCGGTTTCTGTCTCAGTTTTTCAGTTTCGGTCTTTTGGCTTCAGTTTTTCAGTGTCAGTCTCTCGGCTTCAGCCTTTCGGTTTCAGCGCTTCAGCTTCGGCGCTTTGGTTTCAGCTTTTCGGTTTCCGTTTTTCAGCTTCAGGCTTTCAGTTTCAGCGTTCAGTCTCAGTCTTTCCGTTTCAGTCTTTCTGCATTGGTCTTTCTGTTCCTTTTTTTCTATTGCAGTTTTTTTCTTTTCAGTTCTTCAGCTTCAGTCGTTCGGCCCCAGTCTCTCGGCTTAAGTTTTTCAGTTTTAGTCTTTCAGCCTCAGTCCTTCTGCTTCAGCCTTTCGGCCTCAGTCTTTCGGCCTCAGTCTTTCAATTTCAGTCCTTGGGGCTTTTCAGTCTTTCAGCTTTTCAGTTTTTCGGCTTCAGTTTTTCAGTTTCAGGCTTTCCGATTCAGGCTCCCGGCTTCGGTTTTTCAGCTTCAGCCTCTCAGTTTGCGTCTTTCAGTTTCAGTTTTTCGGCTTCCGTTTTTCGGTTTCCGTTCAGCGCTTCACTTTCAGCGCTTCAGCCTCAGCGCTTCCGTTTCAGTGCTTCAGTTTCAGCGCTTCAGTGTCAGCGTTTCAATTTCAGCGCTTCGCCTTCAGCGTTTCAGTTCCGGCGCTTCAGTTTCAGCGCTTCAGTTTCAGCGCTGCAACTTTTCAGCTTCAACGCTCCAGCTTTTCAGTTTCAGTCTTTCCATTTCAGTTCTCAGCTGCGGCCTTTCAGTTTCAGCTTTTCAGTTGCAGTTTTTCAGTTCCAGCCTTTCAGCTTCAGGCCCAGCGCTTCGGCCTCAGTCTTTCAGGCTCAGCCTTTCAGTTTCAGGCTTCGGCTTCAGGCTTTCAGCTTCAGCCTTTCAATCTCGGCGCCAGTCTTTCAGCTTCAGCGTTTCAAAGTCAGGCCCTTGCTTTCGGTCTTTCAGTTGCGCCCCTTCAGTCTCAGCCTTTCAGTTTCATGCTTTCAGTTTCAGGCTTTCGGTTTCTGCCTCCCGGTCACTGCCTTGCAGCTTCGCCCTGTCGGTACTTCTCGGCCATTTTCGATATTTTGCCACTTTTCTTCGCAGTTTGGGACGCCAGTCAGCCTATCGCGAGGCCAGTTCGTCTCTCTCCTTTTCATATTTCCTTATCGGTTTCGCCTCCGTCTTTTGGCGGGCTCTTTCCAGGTGCTTCCGCCATTCTCTTATCGGTTTCGCCGCTCGCTCGGCGTACCCGACTCCTCTGCAATCCTTCCGGCTACCGATACAAACCGAATGAGACGACAGGCGACAACATGAGACACGGGCTCGTCCTCCTTTTTAAGAGTCCGGGGCATCATTACAGGCAAAGGCTAGCCCCGTGCGCCTGTAGCTCTCAGAAGTGCGCCCGGTATAGGTAGCACACGCACACGAAGAG